TATATTAAAAACTAGTAAATCGTACAAATGAAAAAATCTAAAAAAAAATTAAACTTAACTATTTCAAAAAGTACTGCATAGAATTTTATAATTTTTTTTTTATTTAAAAGCTTTAGATTCAAATAATCTTTGTATAATTTTTAGCTTTGTATTTTATTTATTTAGCTTAGTATAAAATTTCAAAAAGTGTCTATAATAATATGGTAGGCCACTGTATATAAATTATTTAATATTAAGTTAATAAAAGAAAATAATTAATATTAAAATTTTATTAAATAACTTTTTGCATACTAATTTAATTTTATAACAATATATAATAAAAGTGAATATAAGCTAAACTATACTGTCAAGTTATTATATAGTTGCTATATAGTGTAAACAAAGCAAACATCTAGGCAGCCATCTTATAGTACATATTTCTAAAGCAGCTATGTATATACAACTTGTACTTTTAGACAAGTTATCCATCATATCGATTTAATAGTCAATATTGTAATAGCAGATAGTATAATAATGAAATACTCTAAATAGCTTATTATTAGTCTTTTCTAATATTGTATTAGTTTTACTTTACAGAACAACAAGATCAAGATTGCAAAACTAACAAATTATTATAATATGATTATAGTACTTTTATAAATATTCTCCAACCATAATTATGACAATACCAAAAAAAAAAATAAACTAAATTTATACTTCTTATTTTTATCTTACTTGTATAAATTAGTTAAAGATAATAACTTCAGAACAACATATTGAAAATTTTCTATTTGCTACGCTATGGCTAATGTTTCCACTTTGCTTTCTTTTTTACTAATATACTAAAATTAAGTACTTAATTAGCAGAACACATTAACTCTAACTATGAGGCTTTAATATGATCTTTCAAACTTAAAAGAATATAATTTTCAACAAATTTAGCTTGCTCAACTAATATATAAGCTAAATTTGTTAGAAATTAAAAAATGCTTTTAAGAACTTGGGTTACAATAAGTGTTAGTAATCACATAATAAATTTATAATATTTTGATAGCTAAAAGTATAAATTGACAACCTTACAAGTATATAGAATTAATAAATCTAATACTATAGCTTAATCTATATCTAATTCTTATTTTTGAAATTTAATTTGCAAGTCTTAGCATAATGTTTAGTATTATTACAATAAAAATATTTTTACAGAAGCTTGTTTGTAATATCAGATTTATAAAGTACTTTATTGTAAATTTTTTGAAAATCCAATTGATCAACATTATTTAAAGAGTTTTGTGTTTGTTTCTTTGATCGACCTTGATGTGCAATAATATGAGAATTTGTTACTGATTTAATATTATTCAATTCTAATGAATTATTAGCTTGAATTGATTTTGATTCAATAAAGCTATAAATTATAGTAATAAATTCATTCATCATATTAGCATTAAGAGCAATTTGAATTTCTTTTTTAGCAATTTTAATGCCTCAACAATATTCAGCCTTTTTGAAAGTATTTTTTTAAATTTCATAATTAAAACAATCTGGCCCTTGAAGTTGTTCAACAATATTAAAGTTACTATTTGACTTATCATTTTGTATCTCTTGTATATCTGCTATATTATATATAAACTAAATAGTAACTAATTGTTCAAATATATATATAGAATTTATAAACTATTGTTGAGGTATTATTTGTACCTGGAATTTAATAAGTGAAGAAACAACTATAACCGAAAAAAATATCAGCAAAAAAAGCTTTTAACAACAAGTAGTATACAAGAATATAAATAAGTACCATTATCTAAAACTATAATATACTGTTTATTATAAAATGCTGGAGTACTAAATAATCTAATATACCAAATCTTCTAAATAATTTCATTGTTAACTAATTTTAATATTGATGAAAGTAAAATATGACTTTCTTGATAATTATCTTTAATAAACCCAGATATATATTCAAAGTAATCATTCTATATATAACAAAAAAATTAGCTTCATATTATAATTTAATTAAACTACAATTTAATATTTATTTGGCTAAAAACTAGGTAATTGATTTTATATAGACAGTAAAAACAAGATTGACTTATTTGAAATCTTTGACAAGCAAGTGTTTTAAAAGTTAAATGTCTTTTTAAGGCTTCATAAATTTGTAAAAAAAGTACTATGGATTATAAACAAACTAACAAATAGAAGCTGATTTTGATATTCAGATTCATGTTGGCATTTTGCTTCATTATCAATTCGTTTTTTAATAGTTTTTACTAATTTTATAAGTATTGTTCATACTCCAATTTTAGCTTTTAATACACTATTGATGCTTTTAACATACTGAGTACTATTATTTTTTTTTTTTTTTTAACAAATTCGGCAGTCATGCCAAAACTTTATTAGACTTTGTACAACCAGCTATACTGTAGTTGTAGAATGTTGTCCG